TTACTAGACAGTTGAGTAAATGGCTAGGTAACTGAGTAAGTGGTAATGGAGTAAAATGTAATATAGCAAATGAGTACTGAGCATTGACTGGCATTGAGTAAAATGCCTCTGTAATGGTTAAGTAGTTCAGTGAGGAGAAGTGTAGCTCAGTAGATAGTGCTATATTGGTTTTTGGTTCAAATCCCAGCTTGGGTAATGGCTTGGTAGTTGAGTAAGGGGTTAAGTAATGCAGAAAGGGGCTGGTAATGGAGCAAAGACTTACATTAAGAATAGTTGAGTAATGTCTTGGTGATGGTAAAAACTTGAGTGAGGAGAGAGGAGGGTTAGGGTTAGGTTAGTAAGGTTACTCGGAGGTAGAGCCATCAGCTTGTAATCGGAAGGCTTCTGGTTCAGTCCCCGGCTAGAGTATCGGATTAGTAATTAAGTAAATGATGTTTAAGTAGTATCCTGAGAAAGAGGAGGACAGCACAGCTCCGGAAGTAGAACTACTGTCTTGTAATCAGAAGGTTTCAATTCCCAGCTAGGATAATGAATTGGTATACAGGCCTTATGGACAATTGTTCACATGTAATTTCTTCTCCAAGCAGGTAGATGTGTATGCGTGTGCAGTGCTCCGTTGGGCCAGTATGGAGCATGTGTGTCTGAGAAGGTGGGCCTCGGGCTCTGCTGTCGTGTTCCTTCACACACTGGCCTTATCCTGGACAGGTAAGGGACACTGTAACTGCAACTGTAACTTAATATGACTGGTTCCTTCTGCTTAATTGGAAGTCAACCAAAGTTGTCCTCTAGGTTATTGGACTGCACCTATCTGAATGATAGGTTGGTTCTAAATCTTGAAAATTTCAAGTTAAAGTTTGCCTTTTGGAGAATAACTAACTAAATGTTGATTGTTAATGTTGCTGTTTTTGTTCATTTAATTTAAAAGTAGTTGTGACACACTATCTATCTGTAGAAGATGAACACCAAAAATCACTGTTAAAGACTAAACTAAAAAGGGTCTGATACACCAGCAACTCGGTCCATGTTAAAGAGTTCTTTCTTGCTGAGTTAGATAGTAATATTGATCGATTGGTAAATATGAAACTACAGCCAGGAGATCGTTAGCGTAGCTTAGCAAACAGCTAGCCTGGCTCTACCTAAAGGGAACAAAATACACCTACCTTTAAAACTCACTAATTAACTAATTATAGCTTTTTACACTTTGGGACTGGAAACGGGGAGGAAAAGTAGGCTAACGTAACCCCACGTAAAACCACAAGTGGCTGTTTTTACACATTGATTTTTGAGCCGATTAAACAAATGAGATTTAACGTGTTAATTAGTGAGTATTAGTGGTGCTGATATGAGGATTTTGTTCATTTAGACAGAGAGAGCCATGTTAGCTGTTTTCCCCTGCAGCTAAGGCTAAGGATAAGCTAAGACCTAAGCTAAAACAAATCAGCTGCTGGAGTAACCTCATACAAGCAAATATTTCCCAAAATGTCAAACTATTCCTTTTCACTTGTAATATTTCACATAACGTCATACATATGTAGAAATACGTTTTTTCTACCTTTTCAGCCAGGTTTGATAAAAGAGTTTTAATTTGTCATGTTTGGCCCACACAGTCCTTTTACAATGTCAACCCTGCACTCACAGGTGCAATTGAGCCGGCCCCCAAAATTGACGGACGGCACCGGGCAGCCCTGACACTGCATGAGAACACGACGCGCCGGTTCAACTGCCAATCAGATGGCTGGGATCCCCGCGCCCCTCCCTTGCTAACATGGTACCTGAACGGGGAGCCACAGAGAGAGCCATGGCCCAACCGCGGCCGCCTGGTGATGACGCCGCAGGAGGATAATGAGGTCATGAGACCGGTGACCCATCACAACAGCTCCTTCTCTCTGCGGGCCAGGAAGTGGGACAGAGAACTGGTGTGTGTCGCATCAAACCCCAGGACAGGAGAGAGCTACAATGCCACCATCACGCTCAACGTCCAGTGTGAGTATATATTTCAGGATTGTGAGTGGAGCCGGCTAACGAGTGCATAAACTGCTGAGTCTCCTCTGTCTCCCAGTTCAGCCAGAGATCCTCAGGGTGAACGCCCACTACAGTGAAACCTCAGAGCCCGGCCTCTCCCTGGTCCTCTTCGCCTTGGTACGGTCAAACCCACCTGCCACCATCACCTTCGTGGACCAGTCTGGCCAGCTGGTGGCTAACACCACCGACTTCCTCATCCTGGACTCGCGAAGCTACCCCTGGCTGACCAATCACACGCTGAGGGTCATGCTCGGTAGCCTATCAGGGAATGTCTCGCTGAACGCCAGCAACAGTGTGGGAACGGTGCAGAGCAACCTCACACTGACAGGTCAGTTATGATAGAAGGCAAGGTCTCTCTTATGCTACATACATGGAGCTTCATATTTACCACACCAACATGAGAGTGGTATCAATATTCTCATTCTTGGTAATACATCGAATAATGTCAAACAACTCCTTCACCTCTATCTTTTCTCTCCCCAGAGTTCTTGCAGTCTCGTGTGGAGGTGCCCATGATGGGAATCGTGACTGGGGGAGCCATGGCCTTCATGGCCCTCCTCATCCTCAGTCTGATAGTTCTCTGCCTCATGCAAAAAAACAAGAGCAAGTCCTTTGGTGAGACTGGAGTGTGTTTGTGTGAAAGTCAGTGCAGCATGCATTGTAGTATATAACACATCACAACTCATTCAGCAGGTTAACACATCCCCTCGGGTTATGTTACAGATGAGCCGGTGGAGATTCTGATGACCAAGAAGAGGTAAATAAAGTTATGAGACTTCTGTCACTGGATATTTGTGTGAACCACTTTGATATAATCAGAATGGAGAGCAAGTGAAAATGTAACTTTCATAGATAAATGTATCAAATATGTTACAACAACTCCAGCAAAACTGTCCTTAGAGACTCATTTAAAGGAATAAATTGACATCTTGAGAAATCCTTTCTTGCTACAAGTTATGTGAGATGTCTGTACAGCCAGTGGCCGGCTGGCTTAGCTTAGCATGCACACTGAAAACAGGGGGAAGCAGCTAGCCTGGTTCTGTTCAAAGGTGACTAAATCCAACTACCAGCAACCTCCAGGAGTCATGTGTGAATGAACTGGAAGTGACTGCGCCTAACCAAGAAATAATCTGGTGCAAAAAACCTGTAAAAACACAATTTGCCTTTTTTACACTTTGCAGTTTTTGTAGATAAATTTAAGATATAAAGTGTTAAGTAGTGAGCTTTAGAGGTGCTGGTAGGTGGACTTTTTTTTACCGTTTTACAGAGTCCGCTCTTTCCTCCTGTCCAATCTTAAACTAACAAGCTGCTGGCAGAAGCTCCACATTAACATTCAGCAAGAAAGCAAATGTTCCCAAAATATATATAGATATCGCTCCTCACACACACCGGACACAGGTATTCTGGCATGGGCTTAGCATTAAAACACTTCCTTTCACTGCCAGCACAGTGGCACTGTATCACACACCTATCCCACATCTTATCTTATAACTTCCAACCTCAGCATCATTAAATTGGAAGGAAAACACTGATGAAAGCATTTTGTCTGTTCTTATGAATACTTTATGTCCATCCTGCAGACAAATAATCCAAGTTGGATGTCTCTCCATATTTCCTGCACAGTGAGTCTGCCAATCTGAAGACAGAGAAAGCTGATAAGACCCACATCCCCAGGGAGAACATGTCTCTGCCTTCAAACATGCAGCTTCATGACCTCAGCACTTTGAGAAAAGGTACGAGGTTTAAGAAAACAAAACACCCTCACCTCATACACAGATGGGTGGAGCTGTACTGCAGACATTAGGCTAGTACAGTGGTTTTCAAACTGGCCTCCGGGCAACAAACAGGGGTCATTGAGTGGGTTGGAGGGCTTCCAGAGCAAAAGGAGGAACACATATTTTAACTTTTATCACAATTTTTGCAAGTTGGAACAACACGGGAAGAAATCTTGAAACCTAAAAAGATCTGTGGTCTAATGTGCATCTATTGTCAGGATCCTTGACATGAAACAGTTTTGGAACCCCTGGCCTAGTACAGTAAGATACATTTAAGTATCTGCATGTTTATTTATCTGAATTATATAAAGTATATAGATATGAACTGTATTATATATTGACAACTTATAAACTTACTTGCATGAATTCTGATTTGCTGAGTTGATTTTAATGGGTCAAAATATCAAAGTGTGAAGGTTAACTCAATTAAAACTCAAGTCAGTCAGTAAACTTAATATGTATGTTGATTTCACAAAGCTCAGAACTAAAGGTTGGCAAAATAGAGCCTCTTACAAAAAGGCACCTTGCATGCTGAAATCTGAAGTGAATGACAATGCAAAGATGTCTAACAAACTTCCGATTTGGTGTAAAATGTTCTTGATAATTCCCAGATCCAGACTCTCACTCAACCAATTCATTGTATTTCTCTCTCTAGTGGGCAGGGTTGGGAGGGTTACTTTAAAAATGTAATGCGATACAGTCACTAATTACCTGTCAAAACATTTAGTCATTAACCTAATCCAGTTATCACAATATTAAAAGTAATTGGATTACTTTCCCCTACTTTTGGATTTCCCTCAACACCAAATAGGCAAAGAAAGACAAGAGAGATTAAATGTCAATAAGTAGTGTTAATGCAAATGTATTCTATAAAACAGCAGAGTAATGTAACCTTTGAATAGAAAATGGAGAAAACGGAAAAATGGAAAGATTTTTAGCATCATGTGTCCTGAAAAAACTGATGTTTTTAAAATTGTAAACCTGTTAAATAATCTCCATTTTTACTGAATGTATCTGTAATCCGATTACGTCTTTTTTTATGTAACTGTAATGGATTAGTTACCTATTTTTTGTATCCTGATTATGTAATTTAGTTACATGTTGTTAATCCGTTAGTCCCCAAACCTGCTAGTGGGTTAATCCAGCTATGCAGTTTATAACCTTTACCAGAGAATTGTTCACTTGAAATCCTGCATTCAGAATATTTATACAGCAAGTACAAAGTATTCACACTCAGATAAGAAGATTGATACCACAGTCATGTAACATGTCATGTGTCTGTTAAATTATGAAGTTACAGCCAGCAGTCGATTAGCTTAGCTTAGCACAAAAGACTAGAAAGTGCTGCTCACAGCCCAGAAATAGTACTAACTGTAGTTTCAAACCTCTGTTTTGTGCAAATTAAGAAAACTATATATAACATGTCAATTTTTAAGTTTTAGAGGTGCTGGTTATCCTTTGACAGAGCCAGGTTAGCTGTTTCCAGTCTTTATACACAGCTAAGCTAACCCTCTCCTAGCTTTAGCTTCGAAGCAAGTAGTTTGACATTTGGAAAATATGCTTATTTGCTTTCTTGCAGAGACTGACATAAAAATATAGACTGATACTACTCTCATATTTGTGAGTTAAATGGGCTACCTGTTTCCCCGGTCTTTATGCTAAGCTAAGCTAACCATTTCTCTAGCTTCGTACAGTAAAGACATGAAGGTGGTATCAGTCTTCTCATCTAATTTGCAGCATATTGTCCAAAAACTATCCCTTCAAACTCATCCTTTACATCTCTTTTGCATTCTGCGGTGTCTTCCCTCATGCATTGCTTCCCGTAGCCCGAGAGGCCGCCCAGCAGAACAGTGTGGGAGAGAAGAAGAAAGAGGAAGAGGAGGAGGAAGATCTGTCTTTAGCCTACGCCGCCAGAGGTCAGGGAAACACACTCTGATACTGTTGCATTTTTCATTATTTATACTTCAGATTGAGCGTGGAGGAACAGCAGTGAGTATTTAGTTTTTTCGCGCTGTGCTCTTTCTGAATGCTCTCCCCTGATGATTTCCAGGTTTTGCCAGATATCCGATGGTGGGCTACATCTATAAGGTGAACAGCACAAGCAGTGAGGAGATCTGGCTCTGACTGACCTCAAAGCTACACAAAAACACACACTTACTGTACATGCATGCAAAACTACTTCCAACAGTGCAGCTTTCCAAAAGGAAACCCAGAACAACTGCCAGTCGGTCATTCAGCCAATCATCCATCACCTTCAGGCCGGTCCAGTGTGACCAGGAATCAGACCTGATCTGTTCCTGGGCCACATACAGAATCAACGCACTCTGTTGTTCATCTGTGAACTGGAATTTCTTGTTCACAAAACCAAACTGTCGATGTTTTCGTCTTGCTGAATCAAGCGCTCTGGTCTATACACTGCTGATCTCAGTGCAAAGTATGAACCCTACATAAAAAAAAGCTCATGTTCTGTATGTTTTGACATGATTTCCTCCTGTAACCACATGCTCATGATGTCTTCCTCCCTGTTGCATTATTGGAATGCATTAATTGTTCTATGCTAACACCAGAATGTCCAAGATAATGTACTGTACTGTACGTGAGATTTGACATTTTGACCAATAATACCCAAATAAGATAGTACATAATTATAAAGTATATTTGAATATGGACAGTTAACATGTCATGTACTGTATATTTGTATGCATATGTATATGTGTATAAAAGAGGGTGTCTAATAAAGATATAATATTGAAATTATATGAAGTAATTGCTGGACCTGCTGTGCTGGTTTTATTGACACTCACCAGGGGGCGCCCTAAGGTGCTTTATGAGCTGGAAAAGATGGAGGACTTTCTGTTAGTCGTGAGGGTAAAGAGTGTTTTTGACATGGTACTTGTCAAGAGTGTGTGTTGTGTGATAGTGAGAGCATTGCTGCATTTGGTGAAGAAGAAATGTGATACTCTCTCTTTTCTTTACAATAACAGGTGCAAGAGACAAATAATGCATGTCTTTATGTTTGACTTTGTGAGTGTGTGTGTGTGTGTGTGTGTGTGTGTGTGTGCCAGGTGTTAGCTCTAGGTCACAGGTTGTTGTGGCTTTTCTTCAGACAGGAAGCAGAGTTGTGTTGTGGGAGCATCTCTTTGCTCTCTCTCTCTTTCTGTTGCTTCTTCTGTGCAGAACAGGGAATGTAGTCTGTCACACACAGCAGGGAAAATTTAGGGAATTGAAATATTAATCTGAACACACACTAGGTTGTGTTCCTGTCTTTGTTTTATCAGATAGAGCTGCTCCACACATTCTCCCAGAGCAACTATTTAGCAAGCAGCAGCATTCATTTCAGCTAATATACATGGCTGGTAGTGGCTTTATTTCCAGAGTCAATGTGAAGAGTTGCCCTGGCAGATTGATGTTCATGTCTTTTGGAAAACAAACAAAAATCAATAATGGCATGAGGGTAAAATCTACAGTGAAATTAGTGAAGGTTTGACAATTGTGATACATTTAACAATAAAGTCTGGGTCAGTAGTGGAACAGAGAGTGCTTCAGATGTACTTAATATTACATAATCAGTTAAATTTAAATCCACTGACAGTTTATCCTAACATCAGTAGTGGAGAAAGTATGTATGTAAATATAAACATTGCTTCTGTCCAATTATATATTATATTATATGAGACGATGAGATTATTAATGCTGGTGCAATAATGTGTAAGTAGCATGGAGCTATATAACATTTTAATTATTTTATATACTGTTAACAATGCTTATCAATGATTATATTATAGGATGTATTGTTTTGTATGTTAGATTTTAATTTGTTGGGTAACTACTAACTTTAGCTGTCAAACAAATGTAGTGTTGATAAAAGTAGACTACAACATTTTCCCCAAAATACTAGTGGAGTTAGTAGAAGAATAAAACTGCATGAGATAGAAATACTCAAGTAGAAAGACAAATATTCAAGTAAATGCACTTAATTATATCCCACCAGTTTCTAACATATGGCGTCATTTGCTGGAAGTCACAGAGACAGAGTCCTCCACATGTAGAAATCAACAAAGTCTGCTGAGACGGAAAATAAACCAATCACACTCACTTCCTTCTCACACACACACACACAGACCGAGACTCTCCAACAGACGGGGATTGGATGCTTTGACAGCAGGGACACGGCAGCTATTTTGAGGTCAGTACTTTTATTTTAAATTTGTTGGATTGTATTTTAAATTTTTTTCGGATCTTGTTGTGTACTTGTGCATGTTTTGATGGAGACCAAAAATATGTTTGTTTTTTAAATCTAAAATAAATTTAAGCTAAAGCCAGAGTTTGTATTACAGAGTAGTTAAAATTACTTTCTTTTAAAAAAAAAAAACTCTTCAACATTAGTTATCTGTTACAATAAGCTGAATAAAATGGTTGACGCAGAAAATGGCGCCCTTCCTGTTTTCTGTCACTATGCTCACTCTCACTCTGACTTTCAGTGATCTGAAATATCTTCTTCTGTCACCAGCAGAACTCAGTGTAGTAAACACACAATGAAGAGCCAGACAATTTTACCGGCCTGTTTGCTGCTGCTCTTGACACTGACAGGTAGGCCTCTGTTGTGATTTTTGTTTTTAAAGACATGAATTTTAAATGAGGAGTCTTTAAGTGGCTTACATCAGTTGGGTTTTCAGAAACAAGGGACCTTTATTTTGAATAGTAGCTGATTGTATGCCAGTAATTGTTCTCATGTTATTTTCTAAATTTCTCCCACAGCACTTGTCAGATGCAAGGATGATGCGGCTAAAGGTAAGGAAACCTTTAAATGGGGCTTAAATCATGTTTAAATCTGTCTTTATGAAAGCATGCCTGCAGGTAATCTGCTTGAAGCAGTTCAGTAATCAGAACAGGTTTATTGTCCTAAATTATAATTTTGTATTTTTCCTACACAGATTCTACAACTAAGATAACAGTGAAAACTGTCTCTGAGGGGATTGAGCTGAGTTGTGTTGCCGGCAATAAAATAACACTTTTGAAGACATTGCAATACAGGGATGACCACACAGGAGAGTACAAATGTGAAACCGATCCATCGGGGGATGAAACAAACACCAATACGGATTCACAGACTGAATTAACAAAAATCTATGTGAAATTTCGGAGTAAGTTCCACAGCAAGGTTTTTATGGATTTTACATGTGCTATTGTAATTACTTGCATTTGCATTGTATTATGAGTACAGTATTTCTTGACAGCAATCATATGTCAAAAATGTCAGATTTTAAAGACGTGTGTGTGTGTGTGT